ATCTGTCAGATCTTGTGGAGAGTCCAGACTGCAGCCTGCAGACTCTGAGGTCAGTAGAAGGTTCCAGTCAGTCTCTGCTGCTTTCAGCAGTGTTCTATCAACACGGTCAGTATCACAGCAAAGATCCAGTGTCTCCTGTAAACCTGCAGATTCTCAGAGCTGCTTTCCTCAGTGAAGCTGTGAGAGCAGAATGGTGACAGACTTCTGATTGGACAGAAACACAGAGACAGCAGTCAGCCAATCAGATGAGCCACAAGCTTATTGTCATGGTGCGTTTTAGTCCACATGAAGCCGACTGTTGATGTGTTGAAGAAATAAAGCTGATTCCAGCTGACAGCCTTCCAGATGTGCAGAGACAGACGTCCTCCTCCATCAGAGCTCAATCAGATCTGATCTACTGTTTGTTGTCTCCTTTCAGCAGCAATCAGCTGATCAGTCTGATGTTGGTCACAGCTCTGAGATCAGTGTGACTGAAGCTGCAAACCTCTGATTTCACAGCAGCATCATGACATTTAGTCGCTCTCTCAACATTTCCTGCTATTTACAGACATCAGATCATTTTGTTAAGTTGCAGATAATATGTAGTAAAATCACAGAAAGAAAGGGGAATTTAAACGTGAACTGTTAAAGAACATAAAATTACTGTTTAACTGTATTTAAGTTTGGTAAAAATGTCTTTATTTTAAATAGATGTGATCATTTTGTTAAATTACAGATAAAATGTATTAAAATGACAAAAAACAGCTCATTACACTGTTAAACTGTTAAAAACAGACCATAACTGTAGATAGACTGTACTGTATTTATAGATATATAGATATAGATATTTAAATCAGCAAAAATGATCAATGTTTAACAGATGTGTGCTGTTATTTGAAGGAACAATTATGTACATCATGGACTAAAAATGGTAAATAGTTTGAGTGTTCAACAGATATTTGAACATTGTGTTAAATTACAGATATAATCCAGTAAAATCCCAGAACAAGATGTTGAATTCACACAAACCATAAAAAACAGGCCAACACTGTAAATAATGTCACATCAATAATCTGCATTTTTACACATATTCATCTGATCTTTTACAATGTTGGACCCAGGGACGTGCTCAGGATTTTTTAGGGGCAGTTGCTCAAACCTGAAAAAAGGGCAACCCCCCTCCCCGCCCCTCCCAGAAAATATAGGCATGATAGGCATGTTTTTGACTGAGAGGATGTCTGTAATATAATTGTAAACAAGCACAGCAAGCAGCACACAGCAAGCTATCTACAATAGAGTCAATGAAGTCAATGCTGCTCCAAATTAGGAACTTCTTCAGGGCAGGGATTAGCTTCTGTCCAATCACACATTATTCTTATGTTATTATATGGTAGAAGCGGTAGTATGTTGTTTTGCTTCTACAGGAAATGTGGCTAAAGGTCTATAACACACTTTTAGTATTTCAATATTTGCATGTGATTAGTAGTTTGGAGCCTATCCCAGCTTTTAACTCAACATATCAAGCTTTTTTTTTTTTTTTTTTTTTTTTCTCCTTTAGCAAAAATATATTAAATCGAAAACCAATAGTTTTGGTGATATGTGTGTTGATTAAGTTTGATTGAAGTGTAGTTTACAGTTCCTTTTATTTCTTTTCAGAATAAAATGTATAAAGTGAGGAAGTAGGCCAATGAGTTTTTTTAATCGGATTTTAATCTCCTATAGACCAACATCACAACATTTAGGGAGGGCACATGCCCAGAGCGCTGTAAATTAGGAGTGGACACTTTTCAGTGCCTGATGTGCCACAAGGCAGGGCCATACCATGCCCTAATTTCCCACTTACAAGGCCACCAGAAATCTGTTGTTAAATATGGAGGTAAGTTCAAGCACAGATATTGCAATATACAACTCCACTACCTCAGCCCAATATCCACTCTGTGCAGTATACACCGTGCTCATTATTTAATTTCATCTTTTTATATAGATTCATTTGTTGTTGCTTGTTTATATATATATATATTTCCTTTATATTGTATATAGTGTTTATTCAAGTTCTTATGATTTTGCATTTTTTTATTTTTGCACTGAAAGGACTGCACCTTACATTTCGTTGTACTTGTTGCAATGACAATAAAATGCATCTGAATCTGAGAAAGTTTGTTAATACCAATGCCATTATCGATTCCCCTTATTGATCTGATTCTTTGTCAGTTATGTTATCGATTTATGGTCAGTAGGCTATTCTATGTGGGGAAACTTAGCTGTTCTATTATTGTCACTGTTAATCTTTTGGCTTCCTATATACTTGCTATTTTCTTCCATTTTGTCTCATCAGTCAGAAACAGAGCTCTGGAGTCCGAGGACTTATGTACTACTTTATTGACCACAAAACAATAAAAGCTGTTGCTGGCTGTTTCATGTCTGATTTTTTTCTAAAATAAAACTTTCAAACTTTTCGTTTTAAGGTGCACATTTTGAAGATGGGTGTATGGTCGTTTATTTTACTAGTCTTGAGAACTGTATACTTAATTCAAAAATATTATAGCCTACTTGGTTCTAAATAAATACATTTTATTTGTGTCAAAGGGCCAGCGATCTTTTGTGTTAAACCATAAGAAATCATCACCTTTGAGTGATATTTATGGCATGTGATGTAGTAGACCAAGCTGTGACACTGTGGCTCTAGGTGTAAACAACCTATTTTAATTGAAATAACTGATACTAATTATTATTATTAATATATATTAATTTTAGTTCAAAATAAACTTGTGTACATTAGTCAAAATAAAAAAGGCTGCTTGCACCAGATTTAGCAGAAAGCTAATTTTCATTTGCAGTCCTATTTATTTACATTGCTTTCTGTTTTTTTGTTTGTTTGTTTGTTTTTTTGTTTTTAAAAAAAAAATCAAGCACATTGTTTGCATTGGAAGGCATTTCATGGTGTGAATCAACCGTTAAAGTTGGTAAAATTGCTCCCGTTATTGCATTATTGCTTTATTTCCCTTCTGTTTACATTTGACATGCTGTGGAACCCCACAGCCATGTAGGGTCATGTGGGCGTGGTTTGTAGGGGCGTGGTTTGTAGCGGCTGTGCCTTGGCTCTGGCTGCAGTCAGACCCTTCTCCACAAGGGAGGTGTATGTCGCAAACAGCAGTAAACTTGAATCTATTAAGGACCTGCCAGAGCACGGTCACAATTTACTCCCAACTCCAGTATTCAACATTTTTAAAAATAAATTTCGGCGGTTTTGCTTAAGTTGATATCTGCGGTCGGGTCAGGCCAATACTTTTGAGCATCAGTTCACATTATTTAATTTTTTTATTAATTCCATTTTCCCCGTGAGGGGCACTTTTAACCAAGTGCTTTTAACGGGCAGTTGCCCGGGCAACCTGAGCCATGCCCTGAGCACGTCCCTGGTTGGACCATAAAATTCGTGTTTAACTGAATTTAAATCTGCTAAAATGTCTGTATTTGACAGAAACCTGCTGCTCCACTCTCAGTCGTTATGTTCCAGGTTGTGAACCTTCCATAAGCATGTGAACACATCTTCTGGTCCCTTTGCTGCCAGACTTCCCCTGTTGTTTCACAGGATTGAGTTGATGTTTGTAGAGCAGATGAGATGCTGATGGACTCTCAGAGACTGTTGGTTTAAATGGAGCAGCAGGAAATGATGAGTGAAGAGTTTGTGCGGTGATGAAGCTTGATGACTGTCAGCTGTTTGTGTGTGTGAGCCTGGAGCTCAGTGTGTTCACTCCAACACGTTGACATGAAGCTGCTGCTCTGAACCGGGTTAAAGTCTTGCTGCTGTTTAGACTGATGAGCTGCAGCACTGACTGACAGCTGATGAAGAGTCTGCAAACACTCACTCATCTCCTCTGCTACTTCTTCTCTCTGCAGATGGAATACATGGCACTGATCAGGAGGGTGTTTGTGCTGAAAGGATGAACTGTGTCCTGATGATCCAGAGGTTGAAGCAGCAGCAGCTGCTGTGTCCAGACTCTGACTGGGTCATGTTACTGGGAGGTGGAGAGCTTCATGCAGCAGTGACTGACAGGAATCACAGGTGGAGATGAGTGTCAGTGCTGCAGTGTGAACTGCTCTGAGAACAGCTGCAGTGTCAGTCAGCAGGTGGAGTCCAGCATCCTCCCTGTGTTGTGCTGGATGTGACAGAGCATCATCAGTGTCTGTGGACTGCTCTGCTGCTGCTCTGTCCTGCTTTAGTCTCTGCAGACTCCCTGAGACTCCTCCACTCCTTCTGCTCCACACTCCTCCTCCACCTCCACCTGATCTGCTCTGTCTGATTCCACCACAGATTCTCAATTAGTCCTGTTCATCACAACGTCCTGGAAGTTCCCAGTGAATGTTCTGTGGGTTGAACTGGTGCAGTCAGTTGTTGTTAATGCTGCAGTGCCGCCCTGTGGAATGATGTTGCATTGCAGCTAATTTCCACATAACGTTTCTAAACAATGTCCTGAGCTGAGATGAAAGAGCTCCATCCAGCCTCCTCTGGTCCAGACCTGTGAATGTGTCCACAGCACTGAGCTGACTGATGTCTGACATCATCAGCATCCAGCATGAATGTCTGAGGCTCCAACAGCAGCCTTGTGTCGTCACTGAACACATCAAGAACTTGTTGTCACAGAAGATCAACCTGAACAAAGTGGATCCAATGAAAGCTTCACTGTGTGAACTGAGTCCGCCATGTTCATTATCTGCAGATGTGGTGTGAAGTCAGTGAATCTGTTTCTCAGAGTGAACAACAGCAAAGTGAAAGAATTTCAGTGTTTGACATGAAAAGACTCATCAGACTGTGAGGATCCAGTCAGACAGAAGTGCTGCTGTTTCCACTGTCTGGTTCTGACTCAGTGAGTCTGAATGGAGCAGCAGGAAGGTTTGCTCCTTCTTCACAGCTCCATCAGTGTCAATATGTGCCTTTGGTTTTCTTCACACTGTCAATGTTGTCAGATACACGGAGATCTAATCATGAAGGTCATCAGCAGGGAGAGTTTCACTGTTTCTCCACAGTGCTGATTTACTGCTTCAGCAGAGCCACTTGGATGAAGAGAATCTGTTGACCAGAGACTGAAGTCCTTCAGCAGGATTTGCTTCCTGGACAAGTCAACACAATCAGCTGTAATGCAGATAATACAGTTTGTTTCTTTGCTCCCACAGAGTGAACAAAGTGTTTTCTGAGTTTTTATTCCAGGAAGTTGATGAGATGTAGAAGAAAACATGAAAGTGACGTGACAGATGAACTGAAGCCGTTTTCCTGCTGAAAAACAACAAAGTTCAGTCTGCAGGTTCACAACAAAGTTAAAGGAAGCAGCAGTTTGATAGAAATAAATCTGAGTGAAGCCTGAATGATGATCCTGACGTTGACTGAGGTGCTGCAGTTCTGTTGGACTTTTAGCTCCTGTCACTGATTATTTCTGACATGAGGTGAAGTGAACGACTGTGTTGACTGTTTCTGTACTGACTGTGCAACCCAGTCTCATGGCAGTTTGTGAAATAGTCACAAAACTTAATCTCTTGTTTCGTGTCCTGGAACACGATTTGTCCAACTTTTTCATGTTCCCCAGCACGAAATTTCACCCAATACATTTCAATTGGACTTATGCTTCATGTCTGGGACACGTTTTTCCCTATTAGACAGCACATATACTGTGATGTTTTTGTCATTCTTTTCTTCCGACAGTCAGGCATTAACCAATTTTCCTGTTATGTCCCGTCCACACTTATAACTCTAGAGATCACTATA